CCTCGAGGTCTGGGGGGTGGGGCTCGGGGCACGGAACCTCGAGGTGCGCACCCGGGGTGTAGGCGTGGTGACTCGAGGTAGAATGGTCCAATGTTGATGATGCACAAATGGTTGTCCAAGTGAAAATGCAAGGGTCTAATTTCCGTGGTCTCAAGGTATCCCATGTTAACAAAGAGACCTAATGTCTGACTGGGCTTGGGTAGTCACAGATTGAATAAGGGTCAAAAAGTAAGTTATCTTAGTTTGTTGTTTGCACTGCTGCAATGAATCCATGAGAAAAGTTCTCAAGAATATCAGCTCTCCCCGAGCATAGTCAGTCAGATCTTTCAGAGGAACAATTCTGGTGGCATCACAGACATGGTTAAGTAGCTCTATCAGCTCGCCTTCTGCATAGAAATGATTAAACTTCTGGTGCAACAGGGAAAGAAGATCCTTATCAAAGGAGTAGATAAAAACTATTGCATCAATGGCCAGAGATTGAAGAAAACTGATTTCTTTGAGTGGTGCGCGTGTAAATTCTATGTCCTGTAGAAATTTAGAAAGCTTCTGAAGTCCTTTTTCAAGCCACCAAATTTGACCATGGCCTAGATGCACGTTCAGATCCTCACATAGAGTATTAACAAAATCAAGCATACATCCAGATTTCATGGTAGTCTCTGATCTTGATGACGTTTATGCTAACAAGAGGCTCTTATAAATCTGCCTCAAATCAAGACTAAAATGATTTATCTTTTCCAGCAATTTACAGAACTCATCTGTTAACACACGCGTACGTTCCTCTTCTTTGTCTTCCTCCATATAGTTGGCCACCGCTAGGAAATATAGTTGTAGTGCAGTATAAGCTACGTCCTCAACATGGGTGAAGAAATCCTTCATACTCTCCAATGCACCGCTTTGCAGTTAATATGAAGAAGGCTTGTGAAAAATACAAGGGGGCAATCCCATACATAATCAAGAAAAATTTCGACAAACCTCACTAGGGGTGGCAATTTCAGCCCATATTTATGAAATCGGCCCATTTTACCCAGATTAAATAAGTTGCGGTGGAACTTCAATCGTATCTTGCTAAACTTGGCCCGCATTGATAGGTAAATTCTGAATCTGTCTCTAACTGTCTGAACGACTTTTGTTTAGGCAAATTAGTTTCCTGTGTCTCTATAAAGGGCCCTTTACCTATGATTGATTAGTTTTTAATGATAATATAGGTGTATTTTACTTTCTCCAATGTCAAGTTTTGCTCTAATGTTGGATCCTACTTGCTCTTGTTCTGGGAAGTAGAAGAGCTGTTGAACTATGTTTGGCTTATGAATGGGAGAAGTTGAGCAATACAATGACCAGAATGTGTAGTTGATAGCTTTTGTTGTTCTCTGTTTCTTATTTTGAACAATATCACATTATATTACAAGGTTCCATTTTGCTTATCATACTACAGTATAGCTAGATAGCATATTTAATACTCATTTTTTGCTCAACCTCATCTTGTTGCTTCACTGCAGCCACTGGCATGGAAGACGATGCTGCAGATTGTGCAACAAAGGAAGATGAAATCCCGGCATCCTGATGCACTGCTGGCTGCTGCAGATTGGTCATCAAATATTATACTTTTTTTATTTAGTCTCTTGTTTTAGCAAAAACGCAGTAGAGAGCAGCCATGCGACTGCACTTGTGTATCTCAATTGCAGCTAAGCTTATGTAATTATACTTGTATTTTTGTACTTTGATTATCGTATTTTGATGTTTATACTTGATTTCCACTTCTTAGTTCGTTGGACATGAAAAACGGAATGAATAAGTATTAGAGTAGAAGGTTAGTTAGTAGATGTTACTGAGGACATGACCTTAGAAAAAAGGTATAGAGATCAAAGATTAGGAGTAAAAGGTTAGTCGGTAGATAGGAGTAAAAGGTTAGTCGGTAGACCATTTGACGTGACTGAGGAAATGACCTTAGATAGAAAAGTATAGCGGTCGAAAATTAGATTAAAAAGTTTGTCGGTAGATGAGTACATGTTCAAATTTGTTGACTTTTAACTACAATAACATGTAATTTACTTGAGACGTACATCATGAACTGTAGATATTGTAGAACAAGTTATCAAACATCTAATTGTGTGCATCAAGCAGAATCTTAAAAACGAAAACAAAAAGCAAGAGCATAAACTAGTATGATTACATTCCAACTAACAAGTTTAATTTTCTGTTGTTCAATTCATGAGTGTTTCTTGCATCCTTCAACAAAATTAAGTAGCATCATAGAGTTTTTACAACCTGCAACGATATAATCTTACTTCCTAGTACGGAAAAAATCTTTTGTATAAGGTTCGAAATAGTGAATTGAGGTAGAGTAGACCGATGATCCTGTAGTCATTTGGCCGGCTATTGAAGAAAAAGCTTGCATCTGCTTCTCCTAAGTAGTTGCTAAAGCATCAGCTAGTAAGTATATATGTTCTCCTGAACATGTGTATGATTCTACAACAACCTGCAATCATCAAGAATATGTGAGTATAAGTTGTTCTTACTGACGAACACAAAATTTATGAGCTAAGACATAACTAAAGTGAAAGAAGATTCTGCCTTTTGATTAACTAAAGAAATAAAAGAAAGCTATGAGCAACAAGGAAAATCATCCAAACTTTATATATCAGGAGTTAATTAATTGTTAATCAAAGATTTCTGTAATTCATCTATCTCCTCAACAAGCTAAGTGTCACTAAAAATGATCATTAAAAATAATCATTGGCAGGTTACCGCATTTCATGAAGAATTTGGAAAGGTGTCGGCATCTATGAAGGAGGAAGGAGGTGTCTGATGGAAAGTTATCTGGAGTGTTTTTGAATGGGATGAAACATTGAGGGAGATAATGGAGATGGCTAAAAGGGGAAGGATCAAAATTCTGTTTTGCAGAAGTTCAGGGTTTTAAATTTGAACCAAGTAGAGGAAGTTCAAGCAATAAATCAGTTGGCTTCAGACCCAATTATTCTCGAGTCGCAAACATACTTGAAACCTAAGTTGCTCGGACTCTTCACTTTTGGTGCCGCACCCGTGTCGACACGACATGGGTGTGGGTGTGAGATCATTTGGTCAACGGATTTTGGGTACTTTGACAAAAATCGATGGAGAAAGTCTGGACAATTTTAATGATTCCTATAATCAATACAAAAGCTAAGGTGAAATTGAAGGAAATGAAATACTTTTTATATAGAAATTTCTATGTCATTCCTTTTCCTATAATCTGCTTCCAGGATTCTCCTCATGTTTTCCACATAATATCTCATAATATGGGTTTTATAACTCTATTTTTAGATATTTTAATTATTTTTAGGTGAATCCCCGCACCCGTATCCATACATGGATCCATATCCCCAAATCTTGAAAATTAGATCATGAAGGATCAGACCTTTAGATCTGCACCCGTATTGGACACCAGCACCCGAGTCCAAGCAACTTAGCTTGAAACATGTGACTCAAGAACTAGAGCAGAAGGCGAAACACTGATTCACCATCGCAGACAACAGCAAAGTCGACTAGCTTCAACACAACTTCAATAGCAAAATCCGAGGGACAATTCAAAAGGTTGTATGATTCAAAATTTGCACGAAAAAGAGAGTCAATGTTATGTTTCAGATGTGATGAAATATTTGGCCTCAATCACCGTTGTAAAAATAGGCAACTTAACCTATTGATCATTTTAGAGGCACCCAACACAAATGAAAATGATATAGAAGAATTCTTTGAGCCTACCGGAGAAGATGTTGAAGGGGAAACTGAGGATACTATGATGGTGTTGAATATTAATTCAGTTGTGCTCCTTCGGCAGGTATAAGTTGTTCTTCTTATGGTGTTGAATATTAATTCACTTTTGGTGCCGCACCCGTGTCGACACAACATGGGTGTGGGTGTGGGATCCGTGTCCAATTTGGTCAATGGATTTTGGGTACTTTGACCAAAATCGATGGAGAAAGTCTGGACAATTTTAATGATTCCTATAATCAATACAAAAGCTAAGGTGAAATTGAAGGAACTAGAATACCTTTTATATAGAAATTTCTATGTCACTCCTTTTCCTATAATCTGCTTCCAGGATTCTCCTCAAGTTTTCCACATAATATCTCATAATATGAGTTGTATAACTCTATTTTTAGATATTTTAATTATTTTTAGGCGAATCTCCGCACCCCATATCCATACATGGATCCATATCCCCGAATCTTAAAAATTAGATCGTGAAGGATCTGACTTTTAGATCCGCACCCGTATCGGACACCCGCATCCGAGTCCGAGCAACTTAGCTTGAAACATGTGACTCAAGAACTAGAGCAGAAGGCGTAACACTGATTCACCATCGCAGACGATAGCAAAGTCGACTAGCTTCAACACAACTTCAGTAGCAAAATCCGAGGGATAATTCAAAAAGTTGTATGATTCAAAATTTGCACGAAAAAGAGAGCCAATGTTATGTTTCACATGTGATGAAATATTTGGCCTCAATCACCGTTGTAAAAATAGGCAACTTAACCTATTGATCATTTCAGAGGCACCCAATTCAGATAAAATGATACATAAGAATTCTTTGAGCCTACCAGAGAAGATGTAGTTGAATGGGAAACAAAGGGTACTAGTATGGTGTAGAATATGAATTCGGTTGTGGGCCTAACAACAAGTATAAGTTGTTGTTCTTATTGTCGAGGCAAAATTTAAGAGCTAAATACCAGTTTAAGCCCCTATAGGTAGGTTTCAAAACCCGCATCAACCAGTAAAATGTTCATTTCTTATGGAGACATAACCAAGAAAAATTTCTATGTAAATCTACAGTTTGCTTGTGAGTTGTGTGCTTTTGGTTTACACCAAATTGAGATTTAATTTGAGAGAAAGATTAAAAAGATTAGAATTTAAAATTGAGAGGGAAGAGATAACGTTGCTGCCGACATATAGAAGTGAACAATGTTTTATAGTCAGTTGAATAAATGGAAGCAACCAAGGTTACAGAAATTGAAAAATTTAAATCACTAGCATATAGGTTGAGAAAGAAAAAGAAATTGATCTTCCTATTTTTAAAGAGGAAAAAGATAAAGTGAAAAGAAAGAAGTTAGCTTTATACACTACATAAAAAATGATCATTAGCGGCAATTAATTCTTAATTGCCGCTAAATATGTATTTTTAGCGGCAATTAACACTCTTTGTATATGTCCCTTTAGCGACATTGGTTCTAATGGCACTTAACTAATGCCGGTAAAGACTTTAGCACTCTTTATTAATGTCAATATTTATTGCCACTAAAAGTTGGTTTTGTTGTAGTGAGAGTGTCTTGGACCCAGCAAATCAACACTTCCAACTGTGCCTATGCCTAAGTTGCTTGGACTCTTCAAAAATGTCAATGAGTGTGTGTCGGATTCGCCAAAAGTAGTGTATATTCGACACGGGTGTGGCATCAAAGTGAAGAGTCCGCACAACTAGGGCCTATGCTCAACCCAAAATGATTCAAACTTTTGAAAAATGAGTATTTCTTACTAAAGTAGGACAGTTTTTGTTAACTTTAAAATGGGGTGGGGCAGGGCAGGTTTAAGCCTGCGGACAGGTTTAAAGTTGTGCGCTGCAGGGCAGGTTGAGGTAATTTTATTAAAATGATGTGCGGCAGGGCGGGTTGCGGGTTTTATGTTTAAGTCTTACTGCTAGGATAGAACTGCTCCATCTTCTGCAATGCTTCTTAGCTCCTAATTTCAATCTGGATGACTTAAAGTGTTTAACACCTTGGGGGATAACCAGTTGAGTAGAAGTCATATAAATATTGGAGGAATACATGAAGTATTTATTTTGAATATTTGAGTAACATTCCAAGATTAGAATTAATAAATCAATTTAAGTAGGAATATCTGGTGTATTTATTTTGAACATTTTGAGCAACATTCTAAATTTAGTCTACTATACAGGAAAAAGTTAAGAAAGACATTTTTTCAATATATATATTTTTGTAAAGTTTTATACAACAGACTGATCAGAAACATTGTTGTTTAATTGAAGCCAATATCAGGTCTAAAGTATTCATCTTTTTCCATATCTGGTCTACGGAATTGTTGTTTAGAGTCAACATTTTCTTCCTAGGTAAAAAAGAGAAAAAAGAAAGAGAAAAGAAGCTAATTAACTGTTATTGAATGATCTCCATAATTCATCTATCTCCTTAATAAGTGTCACTAAAAAACGATCATTAATCATGTTTAGGCTTTGATTCTGCCAAAGGACTATGCGAATAATTATTGGCATATTCACTTGTGCCTTGGTGCTCTTTGCTCTTACTTAGTCTAGTGACACAACATGTACCCCTAAAACACTGCTTAGAAGACTAAAAGAACGTCCAATGTCACTTACTTAGCAGCGCAGAAGCCACCAAACACGAGATACAAAAATGTTCTTGCAAAACGTTGTTGTTCCTTGGGTGTTGGCAGAAAAAAAATGGACAACCAAGATATCTAAGTAGATATGATGTAAAAGTGGTCCTTGAATAGGCAACATCTTGTTCAATATTTGACAAAATAAGCAGGATTTTAAAACACGTGAAAAATGCAGCGAAAGAATACTTACAAGCTGTTAACTATTACAACAGGCATTCACCTGAGTTCTGACATCTTTCAATCTTCGTTTGGTAAATCCGGACAAACTAGGCTTTCGATGCAGAGTTCCGCCTTATTTCTGTTGTAAACACCAGTAACCTCAACATTAAGAACCTTTGGATATGTGATAGAGTCATTCTTTGGATCGTATATCGCTAAAGTTGATTTAAACGCGAGCAGAATTTCACCTTTATTATACGTGAAAAGGGGCGGAGAAAGCTCATAGTTCTCAGGATACCTGATGGTATACAGTTTTGTCCAAGACGCTTTAACTCCATATTCCTTCATTACCCACACATCAGAGTGCGTTCTCTCATCATTATTACAGAGGAACGAAAGATCACTACCCAACACTCCAAGCTTCAAATCTCGTCCTTTGTTGTAGCTGGGCAGCTCCAACTTACCCCATTTCTCATCAACCAAATCAATAGACGTGATGCGCATACGACGTCTACGAAATGTTATCCAATGAAGCTTATGATTCACAAATTTAGCCTCACCACAGTAACTCACCCCAGGTTTAAAATCTTCAAGTGTTCTCCAAGAATCACTCTTTAAACTATATATCGCGGCCTCGAAAAAGGCCTTAATCATGCTACTAAAAATACCCACTACCTTATAATCGTCATGAACGTCATCATATCCAAAAGCACAAGTGGACCAGCATTCACGCATCTGTGTAGGCACAAAGCCGAACACTTTCTTGAACTTTCTAATTGATGGATTCCATAGCACCAACCCACCAAACCCATCGGCAAGACAAACCAAACCATTAACAGAACCCTTAATACGAACACCATAACGTGAATTTTTCATGGGACAATCCAAATCAAGTGCCCCAGTAACAGAGTTATGAAATAAAGAGCTAACAGAGCAAGATTTAATATTAGTCTCTAATGTATCCAATTGTAACAGAGATATATGGCGGGTGTAATCCTTAGCAGAAAAACTAAGATGGGTTTTCACAAATTCAGGACTGGAAATCAAATTAAGCCAATATTTGGAAACACATTTGAACTGTAAGAGGTATTTAACTGGAACCCTTACAAGAATTGCTTCGATCAGTTCTTCTGGCAAACACCCCATTGAATCTTTGCTTGAAATTTCAGTACGCTTTCTCAGTCTCCTCCGTTTTGGGCGTCGATGAAAAGCTTCAGATTTCATTTTGGTTAGCAAACGTTTCATCGAAAGCTTCATTCTTTGAAGTATAATTCAACAAAAATTGATCTTTGCTTTATTGTTTCTACCGAAACCTGAAGTTTTTGCCGCACGTTATATATTTACTACTCTTATATATATCTTTTTTTTTTTGGTAATATAGGGTTTTTTAATTATTCTATACTTCATCCAAGAGATGTTTATATGGACATTTCTCTTTTGTCTAAATTTAAGTGATATAGTTTTCTTTTTCAATATGTTTTAAATATATTTGTTGTATTCGTCATTTTAACAAGTTTCGCTCTCCTTTTGAATTTTTTCTCGAACTAACCACTTGATTTTGTTACTAGTTGATCAAAATCTCACTCCATGTTAATTGTAATTTTTTTTTAAACTTTTTGAGATTTTCACAGTGAAGTTTCTTTTTTGATGCAGCTTTTCTTATTGATACTGTTGTGATGCGATTATTTCGATCTTTAGCGCTAATGTTAGTGTTGCTCCTCTTTCGTGCCTTCACTTTTTCATCTTTCAAATTTTATTATATGTTCTTTTTCTTTTTAGGGCGCTCGTGGAGTTTCTTCATTTTGAATCAAATTTGTTTCTGCTGAGTTTTCTCTTTGTTCTTCCTTTCGTTGATGCTCAATTTTTTACAGTAAATTCAGACAATGTATAATTGTGTTTCTCTCTAGTTTAAGTTGACTATTGGCGATGACTTGATGAAGGGAATCTATGAGAGAAGGTTCTAAAACCGGATTACAATCAATGCGGAACCAACGAATTCAGTCAAACAAAGTAACGAGTCTAAAGGAAGGATCAAGCTTGAAAGAAATGGATGGGCTTAGGCTTTATAGTGAATGCAGACCCCCGCTTATATATATGAGATCAATGATTTAAATAAAAGAAAAATGTCGAGAGAAAGTTTTAGCCCTTAAATTGCGTTGCAAAGAGAGGTCGAAAACAAAGATTCTCTGACATAGTGCGGGCACTGGATGAAAAAACAGAATAAATACCATGATTAGCAGAAGTTATAGTCATTAGTCAAATAATCAGTCGAAAATTGCGAGATTCGCAAAATGAGTATGGTAGTTTTTAAAAAAACCTGCACAAAGTTTAAGCAAAAATAAAATGATTATTTTGAGATCAAAGACGAGAAAATTAAAAATAATATCCATTATGCGATTTTCAAGATTTGACTCATCGAGAGTCGTGATTTGATATACTCGTTTTGTTCCTAATTACTTGTTCAATTTTTCTTTTTTACTTGTCCATGTTGACAAATCAAGATAGAACAAAAAAATTACCTATTATACTCTCAATTAATTACTTTGAAAAAGCTAGAACTTTTTGAAAATCTTAAATTTTTAATTCATCAATTTCATAAGTAATATAGGTAAAATGGTAAACTCACTATGTCAATCATAAAGCGACTGTGATAGAACCACGGGATTCGGGGGATGCCTAATTCCTTCCCCTCGGTCAACAAAATTCCTAACTCAATTTTCTAGTTCGTAGACCATAAATTAATAGAGTCAAAACTTCCTTTTGATTAGGAATTTCTATAAGGTGACTTGGAACACAAAACTCAATTCCAAGTGGAAAGGCCCAAACTCATTTTCTCTCTCTCTCTATCTCCCATTTGATTATTGGATTGTGTTTAGTTATTTTTGTTTTGATTAATTCTAACTTTGAATACTTAGATTAACTAAATGAAAATTTACGTGGGCACAACGCCTCGAAGCCGAGGGCAGGAGGCCTCGGGGCACGCCGCCTCGAGGCCAGGGGCGTCAGGGTGCGGCGCCTCAAGGCCGAGGGGCTAGCTTCGGGTCACGGCGCCTTATGGATGGGAGGCGGGCCTCGAGGCACGGTGCCTCGAGGCTCGGGGGCTGGGGCGGGGCACAGAGCATCGAGGCCGAGGGCGGGCGGGGGCCTCGAGGCACTGTGCATCGAGGTCGGTAGCGTGGTGGGGGCTCGAGGCCAGGGTGGTCTTCGGGAAACTTCGCCTCGAGGCCGGGGGTAGGGCGGGGGCGGCCTCGGGGCACGGCACCTCAAAGACATGTTGAAGTACTCTTCAAATGAATTAGAAATTGTATTTCACAAGGAAAAGTACCACCAATGTTGAAGGATTCTGTTAGACCCCTGATCTAAGTCACTCAATTAAATGGTAGCATGGACAAGGTATTAAGCATGTTAACCTTGTCCCTTGCATAAGCCAAGGAAACAAACATGCAAGGCTAAGTTGACGACGGACTGTTGACGAAGCTAAGGTGTGTGCAATGGCACCATGGCTTGATTTCGAAGCAACAAGTGAGGACCAAGGATTTGAAGACAAGGCAGCTTGGTGAGGACTTGACAAGATGAAATCTTAACAATGTTGTGTGGGCATAGCGTTGATATTCAAAGAAAGAACTAGGGCAAATGACCAGCAAGACTAAGGCATCAATGAAAGAGCTTTGATGCCAACGCGGGATGAAGCAATGCCATAGATTTGTGACCTTGGTGTGGCAGCATTGAGTGGGAAAAATGCAAGGCTGAAAAGGCTAAGTATGACAGTGTTAAACATGGGAAGAGCTCGTCCAAAAGGCAAGCAAAGCCAAACACATGACCGGCGGTTACTAAAAAGTGCATCATTATCCCATTTCGTGTAGAGCTTGGTTTTGGCGCCTTGTTTGAATTATTTTGAATATACCAAGTAGTTGTGGGTTGTCAACTACATAGGAAAGGATCAGGCTAAGGCCAACAAGTGTTTTATTCTAATTACGCCACTTGTCGGTAGTTGGATGCACAGTATTATAAATGTGCAGGCTGCCTATGGTGTAATTTCGGGTTTGATTGTTCTAAGTATTAGGGAATACTAATTAGAGTGTCAAATCTAAGTTAAGGTCTAGGGTGATCTTATAGTAGAATATACCAAGTAGTTGTGGGTTGTCAACTACATAGGAAAGGATCAGGCTAAGGCCAACAAGTGTTTTATTCTAATTACGCCACTTGTCGGTAGTTGGATGCACAGTATTATAAATGTGCAGGCTGCCTATGGTGTAATTTCGGGTTTGATTGTTCTAAGTATTAGGGAATACTAATTAGAGTGTCAAATCTAAGTTAAGGTCTAGGGTGATCTTAAAGTGCCAAGGTTGGTACGATTTGAGAGTGTTCTTGTATTCACTTTATTAATACAAGTTGGAAATTAAGTTTTCTGTAAAGCTGGTTGCCTTTGTCTCATTTTATATTTTCGTGGCTTTAATTATATTGTCGTCTACTGTTTTATGTTGCTTAAAATGTCCAAGAGTTAGTCTCAAAAATGTTGCTGCCTATTTTTGGAGTTAACACCAAAACAGTCCTAAATTTGGCTAAGTGTTGGAAGGTTGAAGTCGACAAGGTTGTTGGCTGCCAAAGCGGGTTACATCAGTGAACTATTTGTGTTCAAAGATCGGCCCCTTTACAGATTCCAAATCCAACACCTTAACAAGTTTGAAGCTGTCAAACATGTAGGAGACATTACGCGACCGTAATAAGTTATCTGAATCAATTACATTGAATAACAAAGAACGAACTTTTGTGCGAGATGGCTGCCACAACTCAATCTGATCCTCAAAAGAATGAACAAACAACTACTTTTGATCACCGAACTTTTCCTACTGGGATGATGGCTGAACATATTTTTCTGTGGCGACTAAAATGGTTTGAGTCATTAATTGTTGAATAGAACATCACTTAAGTCAATGCACTAGTCTGATTGGTGATTAGTCATGGGCTAATTGTTGTGTTATATCATCTTGATCTAGATAAACAAGTCCCCATACATACACGTACAACACACATGCAAGAGGACTAGTTTTCAAGATTAGTAACACCCACTTGGTTTAAAAGGAATGTTTAAATTGTAAAGTGCAATTTATTTGACAGCACATGGATAACAATAGTTTCACATTTCCAATAGTTCCACAAAGTTCAGAAAAAGGACATTAGCTCTTGCTCATAAATGCATTACTAGTTTCACACGAATCACTAAGAATTGAAATTTATTCAAACACTTGGCTTATTGCCGATGATCCTTCAACTAGCTGAGGTCCCCCTCCATCTTCTGTATGCAAGCCTGAATGGAACATTCACTGAGAAAATGGATTACAAAGCAAGAAAGGAAACTTTGATTCAAGGGATGAGTGGAAATAATGTTCTTAGATGAATATGACATACCAGATAACGAGTTAATGAGATGAATTTTTATCCCAATCAAGAGGTTGTATTCTTATTGGCTTGTACAAAACACTCCACATTTGAGTGAGATGGCTGCCACAGATCAATCTGATCCTCAGAAGAATGAACTAACAACTGGTATTTGTTGGAATGTACGCGTCCACCCGTGATTGAATGAATGCTTTTCTTGTCAAATGGTGTCACGGATCTCACCCTTGACATATACAACTCTAATTAGAATTATAAATTAATTTAAAAAATATAAAAAATATTTTTTTTTAAAAAGTGGGTTGGTCCGCACAGCCCGTAGCCCACGTACTTATGAATTGGGCGGATTGTTTTCTGATCCACAAAAAAAAATGGGTCAGCCCAACCTGGTCAAAGTCCGAATTAGCCCGAATAAGAGTGGACCAGCTCATATACAACTCTAATTAGAATCAATATGCTAATTAAATTCCTACCGCAACTGCTCAAGCATTCATCTAATCCTAGGTTTTTCTCTTCTCTTAACTTCGCTGTGAACTCTCATGGTATAATATGATTATGTTAATTATCGTTTTCTTATCCTGATATTAGATCGAAATAATTGCCCAAAAATCTGTAATCTTTTTTATTAGATCCAAAAATATGCAATTTTTAATGCTTAATGTGGGTAAATCTGATTCTGGATGCGTATTGTGGTAAAAAAAATTCAACAAATATTAAATCTTATTGTGGTAAACTTTGAAGAAACTAAACTATTCTGACTTTTTTTAGTTATCAGAACACAGAATGGCAATGCTTAAGAGACTTAAAGTTGAAGGGGACAGAGTTGATAGGCTTAGCGATCTTCCGATTAATGTAAAACACCAGATTCAGCAGAATTTGCTTATTGACGATGCCGCAAGAATGAGCGTTTTGTCTACTGTGTGGAGACATGTTTGGCCCTCAATCCCTGAACTTGTAATTTCTGCACAGTTTTGCCAGAGCATGCCGTTAAACACATTAATAGACATCATTAATACAATTCTGTCGCAGCACTATGGACCCATTAAGACATTCTTTTTGAATATTTCTTCACTGCCTTCTTTGCGGCACTCAGTTATCAGTGAATGGATGCTTTTCTTGTCAAAAAATGGTGTCAAGGATCTCACCCTTCATAATACAAAGAATGTTCCTTATAAATTGCCTTCCTTCATGTATGCTATAGAACTCGAAAGGTTGTACCTGTCCAAATGCGTTTGCAGGCTACCAGGCAACTTTAGGGGTTTCCACAAACTCAAATACCTTAAATTAAATCTAGTCCTCGTACGCCATGATGAAACTTCTATTTTGTGGATGCCAAACCTTCTGAAGCTTCATTTTCGATCTTGCCAGGGTCTTTATCACTTGAAAATATATGCTCCAAAACTTTGGTATTTGAATTTCTATAATATTGGCCCTAATACCCTTAACTTGGATAATTTTTTGGACTGTCGGAATCTGACTACAATTATATTTGCATCAAGAGAACATCAAAGTAAAGTTATGAACTTGACCAATCTTCTTAGTTGTTGCCCTCAAGTTAGTAATATTCATATGGACAGTTCCTACCTCAAGGTAAGCTGCAAAATTTCTATATTTTTGCATTCCACAGCCAAGATTGTTGCATATATTTGTAATATTTAATGTTACTCTTTTGTGGTTGACTGTTTTACTCTAGTCTTTTGCTTCTGGTACTGAAGTAGAGAGGCTCCCCACACGCCTCGACAATGTGAAGTTTGTTCGTTCATATATTGATTTTGATGATGAGGATCAAGTATCTTCCATTCTAAGAATTCTAACAAGTACTCCCAATGTGAAGGACCTTAAATTGGACGTGGTAAGTTATTGAGTTCACGAGTTATTACTCTTCTTAATTCTGTGTAAAGAGCTGTAAATGTTACTGATTTTTACTTTTATAATACCTATAGTGGAGCTCGGAAATTAAAGGTGGCATGGAAGAAGATGTAAATCATTTCAAAGGACCAGCCTATGGTACACAAGAATTCAACAAGCTTCAAAAATTGAAAATAGCAGCATTCCGTGGCTTAAAACCTGAATTGCTCTTTGTAAGGTTTATACTTCGCTCTGCACCTCTACTCCTGAAGACTATCCTCTTAGTAGATGAAAGTGTTAATGAAAGCCAATACTTGAAAATCTCAGAGGAGTTAAGGGGGTTCCCTCGGGCATCTCCCAAATTGAAAATAATAATATGTAATTACTGCAAAAAAAAGCCAAGTGAGTGAGGCCGGACCGGCTTTCTCATCTTATGGATTGGCACAAGAAAGTACTCCTAGTCCATTCTCTTCTTCCTCACTTGCAGTAACCTCTTCCAATTCTTTATCACAGTACTGGAGCAGATAGATGTAGTGTTTTGCAATATCAGTTTTTTTGTTAAAGTATGGATCTTGTTATGTCTTCCTTCAATTTTGATTCTGTTGCTTATACTGTCTGTGATTGAAGCACTCAGTGCAATTCATGTTGCAGAGAGAGATCTGGTGTAAATAGTTAGTAGTATTTTTGAAGGCATAGGGCCAGATATTTTAAATAAGTTAATGATGATTAGGAGTTTGTGCTTTTAATTCCTGCTTGGTAGTATTTTTGAATGCATAGGGCCAGATATTTTAAATAAGTTAATGATGAATAGGAGTTTGTGCTTTTAATTCCTGCTTGTTATAATATTATACGAGTGAATCCATCCAGACTACGCTGCCTTATGACAGTTTTTCCTTCAATTGCAGCGTAAATATTGGTATAAGATGATTTCTAGGCATGGACTTTTAATAAGGTCTTCTTTTCCCTTGTTGTTTATCTCTGTGTTTCATAACCATCGACATTGTGATGGCAAATGAAACTCCAAATTGGATAAAACATTCTTGGTTTAGTTTAATAGTTCTGACTTCTTTCTTTAACATCCACTCTTTTGATACAGAAGAGTCGTCTCAAATGAAATAGCACATTTTGATTCATAATAATCTTTTGATCACTGAGCTTTTCCTACTGGGATGATGGCTGAACATATTTTTCTCTGGCGACTAAAATGGTTTGAGTCATTAATTGTTGAATAGAACATCGCTCAAGTCAATGCACTAGTGGTAGTCATGGGATAATTGGTGTTATATTGATCTAGATAAACAATTGACATACACGTACAACACACATGCGAGAGGACTAGTTTTCAAGATAAGTAACACCCACTTGGTTTAAAAGGAATGTTTAAATTTTTAAGTGCAATTTATTTTAACAATAGTTTCACATTTCTAATAGTTCCACAAAGCTCAGAAAAAGGACATGAGCTCTTGCTCATAAATTCATTACACGTTTCACTAAGAGTTGAAATTTATTCAAACACATGTCTTATTGCTGAAGATCCTTCAACTAGCTGAGTTCCTCCTCCATCTTCTGTTTGCTAGCCTGAATGAAACATTTACTGAGAAATGGATTACAGAGCAAGAAAGGATACTTAAGATTCAAGGATATAGCACATATATAAATTGCTACTTTTTTCCCCTTCTTTTCACTAAAGAGCAGGTAATTGGAATGAGTGGAAATAATGTTCTCAGATGAATATGACATGAACATACCAGATAACGAGCCAAGGAGATGAATTTCTATCCCAATCAGGAGGCTGTATTGTAACTTTGAACATATCATTTGTCATTTCATCACACTGAATCGCTTGAAGTTCCTGGCCGGCTGAACTAGCAACATACCAGCTGCACCGGTTTAATTTACTTCAATGCTTTTTAGAGATACAATGTCATCAAAATGAGATAGATAGGATTTTCTCAAGCCACTTACATTTGGTTAAAACCAAAGGTTCAAGCATCCTCGGAGACGGACGAATGTGCAATGTTGAGGTCGTCTAATTCTAAGTATTTGAGTTCAGGGAATTCTGAATCTTTCACTTCCCATTCATGCCCTTCAAAGGCTCTGAGAAGTACCTTTAGAATCTCCAATGCTCGAGATTTGGCTCCATGGCAGATGAAACTTTGACAGAGTCAATTCCCTAAGTTTTGAGGGAAAACTGAAGACATGTGGAAGTTTAGCTGGATAGCTGTTGGAAACAAGCTTGAAGTGACTTAGAAACTCTAATCTCGGAAAACAAACACACCTACCCTTCACTTTGTCTGAATAACCAAATGCCCCCGAAAATATGCAATTCAGCTTTCTCAATTTTGGCATCTTTCTCAATATCATCTCTGTATCTTCACCGTAAGAAAGATGTGGAGTGAAAAAGGTTTCCTAATTATCTAATTGAGAATTGGAAAGTGATTCACCCGTGTTCTCAGGCAAAGCACGATTCTTCACAAGTAAGTAAATGCCTCAATTTGATCATCTTTAGAGTAGAAGAAGGTAATATCATCTCTCCCCCTGATCCTCTTACCACTAGTTTTAGCAGCAAAATACTTCAAATGAATTAGAAATTGTATTTCACAAGTTTGAAGCTGTCAAAGATGAAAGAGATGTTACGAGGCTGTCAAACAAGTTATCTGAATCAATCACATTGAATAACACTTGAGCGAGATGGCTGCCACAGATCAATCTGATCCTCAGAAGTATGAACAAACAACCGGTATTCCATAGAAATTTCAGGAAATGTATCCTCTCCGGTGAATCTGTTTAAAGAGAAAATAATGAAAATGAGCGTTGATATAAACAATAATACCTATTGATCTGAAGAAGGAAATTCTGAACAGATCATGAACGTGACATGTTTTAAGCTTTCCGTTGGGTCTCTTCTCCGTCCATCACTAAATTTCTACTAATAAGATCTTCCAAGAGGCATTCTGCAGCATCTTCTAGAGAAAATTTTGAGACATGAATATCCTTTCCCTTCAAAAGTCCTCCAAAATAGAGCTTCAGCTGGTGCGGTAAATTCCTACAACTGAATCCGATTATAGACATGCTCTCTTCCAAGCTACCAATATTCAGCAAACCTAGACTTTCTTCTATTTCCTTCCACAATTCTACTTTTATTAGTTGAGAACGAACACCAGCAACTAATACAATGAAGAGAGGCAACCCTCCACATATTTTTGCTATACTCTTCCCTTGAAACAAGTACTCTCATCATCTCTGAACAAACGAAGATGATGAAGTTCACTTTCATATTTAGCATAATTGGCAACGTTGCTCAGAAGGCTCCACTCGTGCCCTAAATTACTATGTCCAATAGAAATACTCCACAATTTTTTAGTGCCAGCTAATATTCCTGCAGGATCTCATACAGACAGACATATCAGTTGTATGTGTCCTTTGGGACACGAGTCCTTCACTGACTTTGGGCCACGAGTTCCCTCCTTTTTCTCTGATAACAACCACCCTATAATCGTAGTAATGAGCCGAGGCCAAGGAAACCGGCTAATCTTCGATCCGGCCATTTGACAATGGAATCATTATGGATACTTTTTCCCAATCTTATATGCCACAACCTAATTTCCAATACTACCATGTATACAAACTTCTTTCCCCCCAATACAAATTAGATTACCCACTAAAAACTAAGAATAATTACTCCACTATTTCAACTTCTGGTTCTACCATGCATACTATTCTTGACAAGTGCATATACATTGCAAGTATATCTTTCCCATCTAATTTCCAAAGACTCTCTAGTCTCTACATACCTCCACAAGGCATTGGTAAGGTGTGCGTGCGTGCGTACATTCTACCCTCCCTAGACCCCATGTAATGGGATTTCACCGGAGATGTTGTTGTTGTAATTTCCAAAGAGAAAATTTTCAGATGGTCACTCAACTAAGTGTAATTCAAAGGTGTATTGATATTTCACCTAAGTATCCCAATCATTATAGGTATTTTTTACATTTAAGTTTGCTGCTATGAAATTTTTGTTTTTAGTCAAAATTTGAAGAAATAACTCAAAACTTCAATTTAGGAGACAACAATTGTTTCACTTTATTGATATGAATATATATTGAGAAAATGGTCAAATGACCCCCCAACCTATTACCGGATTTCCAACTACACACCTATTCTCCGTGGGAGTCCTATTATCCCCCTGAACTACTTTAAAATGGAATAAATAACCCCTTAATTGCTGAGTTGGCATAGAGAGTGAGTTGCCTATTTTTTTTAAATTTTCATTTTTTTTTCTAATTTTCTTTTTTCTTTCTCTTTCTTTCTTCTTATTTATCTATACAACATTTTTCACCATTACCATTGTTGAAACTTTTTCAATGGATGTTTGGAATAAAAATTATCAACAACAAATGCATTTAATGAATAAATAATCTTTTAATAAACTTATTTAGAACATATCTAACAAATTAAATTTATTTTAAAAAAACTTACCCATTAATTATTATTTTTTAAAGTGATGGATTCAAGAGTAACAAAATCAAAGTGAAGTAATTGTTTATTTAAAGAATATTTTCAAACTTAAACAAAGAAACCGAAACAAAACAATTTCTTCTACATTTTAAAAGAAGGATCCTACATATTCTCCTAAAATCCATTAGAATCAAAATCAAAAACTCAAATTATAAATTAATCATGAAAATTTTAAGTAGGGAGAAATAATAAAGAATGGGAAGAGAGAGAGAGAGAGAGGTTTCTCAAATTGGTGTTACAAATTGGTCTTCTCATTCACAATTATTTTAAGTTGTCGGCGGAATCTTCAATGG